GCAGCCTTCGTCACCCTTCTCAACGGGGAGCAGGCGGACTGTGCCATCCGGCGATTCCACCGCAGCAAATTACGGGGGGAGAAGGAGATTTCGGTGCAGCTCCAACCCACCGACGCCCTCCTCTGCATCTCCAACCTCCCCCAACTCTACACCCAACACCAATTCGAAGAGCTCGTCCGTCCTTTCGGCAACTTGGAACGTTGTTTTTTGGTCTACAGCCCCAAAACGGGCCATTCCAAAGGTTACGGTTTCGTAGAATATATGAAAAAAGATTCGGCCGCCAGAGCCAAATCGGATTTGTTGGGGAAACAATTAGGGACCAGGACTCTCTACGTCCATTGGACGGACGTCAACCAGTTGACCTTGGAGCTTCTTCATTCCAAGTGTTTGTGCGTGGACAAGTTGCCCCACAATTACGCCGACTTGGAGGAGCTACGGCAGGTCTTCTCCGCCCTCTGCCCCCCGACTTTTTGTCAGGTGAGAGGTGGTGGTGGGGTTGGGTTTTGGGGGGTTTATAGGGTTTTTTGGTGGTGGTGGTCTTGTAGAACCTCTTGTGGAGCTCTTGGTATGAAGCTGGCAGCGCCATGGGATGGGGCAGTGGGGAAGTGACCTGCTTGTGGCCTCTTGAAGAGCCACCCATTGGCCTTCTGGGGCCACCTGAGCCCCCAGGAACCCACTTAAGCCCCCCAGGGAGCCACCCAAGCTCTTTGAGGAGCCACTTAAGCTCCTCAAGGAGCCTTTGAGACCCCAGGAACCCACTTAAGCCCCCCAGGGAGTCACCCAAGCTCTTTGAGGAGTCACCTGAGCTCTTTGAGGAGCCACTCAAGACCCCAGGGAGCCACTTGAGCTCCTCAAGGAGCCTTTGAGCCCCTTGAGGAGCCACCCAAACCCCTCAAGCCACCCAAGCCCCTTGTGGGGCCACCTGAACCCCGCAGGAAGCCACTTAAGCCCCCCAGTGAGCCACCTGAGCTCTTTGAGGAGCCACTCAAGACCTCAGGAACCCACTTAAGCCCCCAGGGAGCCACCCGAGCTCTTTGAGGAGCCACCCAAGACCCCAGGGAGCCACTTGAGCTTGCCAAGGAGCCTTTGAGCCCCCCAGGAACCCACTTAAGCCCTTTGAGGAGCCACCCAAACCCCTCAAGCCCCCCGGTGTCTGACTTGAGCTACCCAAGCCCCTCGTGGGGCCACCTGAGCCCCCCGGGAACCCACTTAAGCCCCCAGGGAGCCACCCGAGCTCTTTGAGGAGCCACTTAAGCTCCTCAAGGAGCCTTTGAGACCCCAGGAACCCACTTAAGCCCCTTGAGGGAGCCATCCAAGCTCTTTGAGGAGTCACCTGAGCTCTTTGAGGAGCCACCCAAGACCCCAGGAAGCCACTTGAGCTCCTCAAGGAGCCTTTGAGCCCCCCAGGAACCCCTCCGCCCTCTGCCCCCCGACTTTTTGTCAGGTGAGAGGTGGTGGTGGGGTTGGGTTTTGGGGGGGTTTCTGAGGGTGGTTTTTGTTGTGGTGGTGGTCTTGTAGAACCTCTTGTGGAGCTCCTGGTGTGAAGCTGGCAGCGCCATGGGATGGGGCAGTGGGGAAGTGACCTGCTTGTGGCCTCTTGAAGAGCCACCCGTTGGCCTTCTGGGGCCACCTGAGCCCCCCAGGGAGCCACCCAAGCCCCTTGTGGGGCCACCTTAGCCCCCCAGGAACCCACATAAGCCCTCCAGGCCTTCTGGGGCCACCTGAGCCCCCCAGGGAGCCACCCAAGATCTTTGAGGAGCCACCCAAGACCCCAGGAAGCCACTTGAGCTCCTCAAGGAGCATTTGAGCCCCCCAGGGAGCTACCTGAGCTCTTTGAGGAGCCACTTGAGCTCCTCAAGGAGCATTTGAGCCCCCCAGGAACCCACTTAAGCCCCTCGAGGAGCCACCTGAGCCCCTTGAGGAGCCACCCAAACCCCTCAAGCCCCCCGGTGTCTGACTTGAGCCACCCAAGGCCCTTGTGGGGCCACCTGAGCCCACCAAGAACCCACTTAAGCCCCTTGAGGAGCCACCCAAACCCCTCAAGCCCCCCGGTGTCTGACTTGAGCCACCCAAGGCCCTTGTGGGGCCACCTGAGCCCACCAAGAACCCACTTAAGCCCCTTGAGGGGCCACCCAAGACCCCAGGGAGCCACTTGAGCTTGCCAAGGAGCCTTTGAGCCCCCCAGGAACCCATTTGAGCCACCCGAGCTCTTTGAGGAGCCACTTAAGCTCCTCAAGGAGCCTTTGAGCCCCCCAGGGAGCCACCCAAGCTCTTTGAGGAGTCACCCAAGACCCCAGGGAGCCAATTAAACTCCTCAAGGGTTCAAGGCCAAGGTTGGAGGGGGCTTGGAGCGACCTGCTCTGGTGGGAGGTGTCTGGGGATGGAACTCAATGGTCTTGAAGGTCCAGGTTGCCCAGAGGAGCTGTGAGGTTGCCCAGAGAACCTTGAAGAGGTTCAAGCCCAAGGTTGGATGGGACTTGGAGTGACCTGCTCTGGTGGGAGGTGTCTGGGGATGGAGCTCAATGGTCTTTAAGGTCCAGGTTGCCCAGAGAACCTCGAAGAGCTTCAAGCCCAAGGTTGGAGGGGGCTTGGAGCGACCTGGGCTGTTGGGAGGTGTCTGCCCCCAGGGAGCCACCCAAGCTCTTTGAGGAGTCACCCAAGACCCCAGGGAGCCAATTAAACTCCTCAAGGGTTCAAGGCCAAGGTTGGAGGGGGCTTGGAGCGACCTGCTCTGGTGGGAGGTGTCTGGGGATGGAACTCAATGGTCTTGAAGGTCCAGGTTGCCCAGAGGAGCTGTGAGGTTGCCCAGAGAACCTTGAAGAGGTTCAAGCCCAAGGTTGGATGGGACTTGGAGTGACCTGCTCTGGTGGGAGGTGTCTGGGGATGGAGCTCAATGGTCTTTAAGGTCCAGGTTGCCCAGAGAACCTCGAAGAGCTTCAAGCCCAAGGTTGGAGGGGGCTTGGAGCGACCTGGGCTGTTGGGAGGTGTCTGGGGGATGGAACTCAATGGTCTTGAAGGTCCAGGTTGTCCAGAGAACCTCAAAGAGCTTCAAGCCCAAGGTTGGAGGGGGCTTGGAGCAACCAGGGCTGGTGGGAGGTGTCTGGGATGGAGCTCAATGGTCTTGAAGGTCCAGGTTGCCCAGAGAACCTCGAAGAGCTTCAAGCCCAAGGTTGGATGGGGCTTGGAGCAACCAGGGCTGGTGGGAGGTGTCTGGGATGGAGCTCAATGGTCTTGAAGGTCCAGGTTGCCCAGAGGAGCTGTGGGGTTGCCCAGAGAACCTTGAAGAGGTTCAAGGCCAAGGTTGGATGGGACTTGGAGCAACCTGCTCTGGTGGGAGGTGTCTGGGGATGGAACTCAATGGTCTTGAAGGTCCAGGTTGCCCAGAGGAGCTGTGGGGTTGCCCAGAGAACCTCGAAGAGCTTCAAGCCCAAGGTTGGATGGGACTTGGAGCAACCTGGGCTGGTGGGAGGTGTCTGGGATGGAGCTCAATGGTCTTGAAGGTCCAGGTTGCCCAGAGAACCTCGAAGAGCTTCAAGCCCAAGGTTGGATGGGGCTTGGAGCGACCTGCTCTGGTGGGAGGTCTCGATGGTCTTGAAGGTCCAGGTTGCCCAGAGAACCTCGAAGAGCTTCAAGCCCAAGGTTGGATGGGTCTTGGAGCAACCTGGGCTGGTGGAAGACGACTTGGGGGGGCTTCAATGTCCTTTCCAACCGTGAGGGATCTCTCGGGGTCTCTCCCCCTCTTCTCCCTGAGGTTCTAACCCTCCTTTTTCTTCATCCCTCTCTCCTCCCAGTTGGCCTACGGGCAGGACGGGCAGCTGAAGGGCTTTGCTGTCCTGGAGTACGACTCGGCGGCCGCGGCCGAGATGGTCCAACGGAGCACGGACGGGTTGGCGCTCGCCGGGAACCACGTCCGAGTCTCCTTCTGCGCCCCCGGCCCTCCCGGCTGCAGCATGTTGGCTGCTCTCATCGCTGCCCAGGCCACGGTCAGCCTTCTGTCTCCTGCCTCCTCCTCTTCCTTTCCTCCTTCCTTCCTCCTCTTCCTTTCCTCCTTCCTTCCTCCTCTTCCTTTTCCCCTTCCTCCTCTTCCTTTTCCCCTTCCTTTTCACCTTCCTGCCTTCCTTCCTTCCTTTTCTCCTGCCTTCCTTTTCTCCTTCCTTCCTTTCTTTGCTTTTCTCCCTCCTTCCTTCCCTCCTTTTCTCCCTCCTTCCTTCCCTCCTTTTCTCCCTCCTTCCTTCCCTCCTTTTCTCCCTCCTTCCTTCCCTCCTTTTCTCCCTCCTTCCTTCCCTCCTTTGTCCCCTTTCTCCCTCCCTGCCTTCCTTGTCCCCTTTCTCCCTCCCTGCCTTCCTTGTCCCCTTTCTCCCTCCCTGCCTTCCTTGTCCCCTTTCTCCCTCCCTGCCTTCCTTGTCCCCTTTCTCCCTCCCTGCCTTCCTTGTCCCCTTTCTCCCTCCCTGCCTTCCTTGTCCCCTTTCTCCCTCCCTGCCTTCCTTGTCCCCTTTCTCCCTCCCTGCCTTCCTTGTCCCCTTTCTCCCTCCCTGCCTTCCTTGTCCCCTTTCTCCCTCCCTGCCTTCCTTGTCCCCTTTCTCCCTCCCTGCCTTCCTTGTCCCCTTTCTCCCTCCCTGCCTTCCTTGTCCCCTTTCTCCCTCCCTGCCTTCCTTGTCCCCTTTCTCCCTCCCTGCCTTCCTTGTCCCCTTTCTCCCTCCCTGCCTTCCTTGTCCCCTTTCTCCCTCCCTGCCTTCCTTGTCCCCTTTCTCCCTCCCTGCCTTCCTTGTCCCCTTTCTCCCTCCCTGCCTTCCTTGTCCCCTTTCTCCCTCCCTGCCTTCCTTGTCCCCTTTCTCCCTCCCTGCCTTCCTTGTCCCCTTTCTCCCTCCCTGCCTTCCTTGTCCCCTTTCTCCCTCCCTGCCTTCCTTTTCCCCTTTCTCCCTCCCTGCCTTCCTTGTCCCCTTTCTCCCTCCCTGCCTTCCTTGTCCCCTTTCTCCCTCCCTGCCTTCCTTGTCCCCTTTCTCCCTCCCTGCCTTCCTTGTCCCCTTTCTCCCTCCCTGCCTTCCTTGTCCCCTTTCTCCCTCCCTGCCTTCCTTGTCCCCTTTCTCCCTCCCTGCCTTCCTTGTCCCCTTTCTCCCTCCCTGCCTTCCTTGTCCCCTTTCTCCCTCCCTGCCTTCCTTGTCCCCTTTCTCCCTCCCTGCCTTCCTTGTCCCCTTTCTCCCTCCCTGCCTTCCTTGTCCCCTTTCTCCCTCCCTGCCTTCCTTGTCCCCTTTCTCCCTCCCTGCCTTCCTTGTCCCCTTTCTCCCTCCCTGCCTTCCTTGTCCCCTTTCTCCCTCCCTGCCTTCCTTGTCCCCTTTCTCCCTCCCTGCCTCCTCTCCCTCCTCTCCCTCCTCTCCCTCCTCTCCCTCCTCTCCCTCCTCTCCCTCCTCTCCCTCGCCGCCCTCCTCTCCCTCCTCTCCCTCCTCGCCTCCCTCTCCCTCCTCTCCCTCCTCTCCCTCCTCTCCCTCCTCTCCCTCCTCTCCCTCCTCTCCCTCCTCTCCCTCCTCTCCCTCCTCTCCCTCCTCTCCCTCCTCTCCCTCCTCGGATATCCAGCCTGGAACAGGCTGTCGTGGAAGCAACCGCATTCCCTACGGAGCAGCCGGCTGTTCCCTGGAGCTCCTTCTTCTGGCCATCTCTGCCAGGCACAGCTTGCCTCCCCCTCACCCCCCCCCTTGCCTTATTTCCATATTTCACCCCAAAATTCCCAGCGGGAATGCCGGTGCTTGCCAAAATCCTGGTGGGATGGCAGACGGCGGCGACGGCAAACCGTGTTGAGGGGGGGGGGACGGGGGGGTGAATTCCTTTCCCTCCTCCTCCTCCAAGGGGATATTTGGGAATGGTTTTACTGGGATTTGGATTCCTGGAGCTGGAATCTTGCTGGTTTTGGGTGGGTAAATTCAGAGGGTGAGTGGGCGAATCTTCACAGCCACTTTTTCTCACTTTTAACACACTTTTTTATGGTTTTTAAGGCTCTGAATCGTGGAAAAGGGCTTCTCCCCGAGCCCAGCATCCTCCAAATCCTCAACAGCCTGGGAAATCCCGCTTCCCTCCAGCTGCTCCTCAACCCCCTGCTCCACGGGGCCGTCGGAGGCAAACAGGGTAAGGTCCCACCTCACCTGGAGACCTTCTTCTTCCCTCTCTCTTCCCTCTCTCTTCCCTCTCTCTTCCCTCTCTCTTCCCTCTCTCTTCCCTCTCTCTTCCCTCTCTCTTCCCTCTCTCTTCCCTCTCTCTTCCCTCTCTCTTCCCTCTCTCTTCCCTCTCTCTTCCCTCTCTCTTCCCTCTCTCTTCCCTCTCTCTTCCCTCTCTCTTCCCTCTCTCTTCCCTCTCTCTTCCCTCTCTCTTCCCTCTCTCTTCCCTCTCTCTTCCCTCTCTCTTCCCTCTCTCTTCCCTCTCTCTTCCCTCTCTCTTCCCTCTCTCTTCCCTCTCTCTTCCCTCTCTCTTCCCTCTCTCTTCCCTCTCTCTTCCCTCTCTCTTCCCTCTCTCTTCCCTCTCTCTTCCCTCTCTCTTCCCTCTCTCTTCCCTCTCTCTTCCCTCTCTCTTCCCTCTCTCTTCCCTCTCTCTTCCCTCTCTCTTCCCTCTCTCTTCCCTCTTCACCGTGGGCTCTTCCTCCAGCATTTCCTTCCTTCCTTCCATCCCTCTCCCTCTCCCAGGAATCCTCGGCGCCGCTCCCTCCGTGCCCTTGGTCACCAACCCGGCCCTTTCCACGGCTCTTCTCCAGCTGGCCCTGCAGAACCAAAGCCAAGCCCAACAGGTAGGAGGCCAATTTTCACCTCTTTCTTCTCTTTTTTTATTGGTTTTATTTTACCCCAACGCCACCATCGTGCCGGAATATATTTTATTCTTATTTCTCCCTCGCCCCAAAAAACAAATCTGCTCTTAGTTCAGGGTCCTGAGCTGGGGAAAGTGGGGGGTTCCTGATCTTCTCTTAGATTTTGGGAGTCTCCAAACCCAACCCCGAGCTCCTGCGGCTTGTTTTTTCCCATTTTTCCCCCAAAAAACTCTCGTTGCCTCTTGAGGATTGGAGAGAGAGGAGCCCAAAGAGGACAAAATCTCCCCCGCCGCGCTTCTCGCTCTCTCCCCACCTCTCAAACCCCCTTCTCTTGGGGTTTTCCTCCTCTTTTTGAGTCATTTTCTGTCTTTTTTTTGTTTGGTTGGTTTTTTTTTTGTTTGGTTGGTTTTTTTTTTGTTGTTTTGGGTTTTTTTTTTTTCCTGGTCTTTCTTGCTCTGCTTTCTGCCCCAGAAGGCATTGCTTGGGAATTCCCTCTTACTGCACACCCAGGTCTGGAGCCAGCTGCTGCTGCAGAACAAGGAGAACCAAACCCTCTTCCATGTGAGCGGTAGGAGGCAGCCGGCGCGTTCCCGTGCTGTGTGTGTCGTGGTGGTGGTGGGAGGGTTAAAAAAAAAAAAGGGATGGTGGAATCCCTGGAAAAGATGATGGGGACGGCTCGTTCCGGGTCTCATCTCAAAGGATGTGGAGGAAAAGGAAGCTATCGGAGATAGTCAACGTGGATCCACCAAGGGGAAGTCATGGCTGACTTAACTTGATGGCCTTCCATGATGACATGAGTTATTGTCAGAGTTGGGTTGATGGTTGGACTAGATGATCTTCAAGGTCCCTTCCAACCTAGATGATGATTCTATGACTGGTTGGGTAGATAAAGAGAGGGTGGTGGACGTTGTCTACCTTGACTTCCAACCCAGATGATTCTATGACTGGTTGGGTAGATGAGGGGAGGGTGGTGGACGTTGTCTACCTTGACTTCCAACCTAGATGATTCTATGACTGGTTGGGTAGATGAGGGGAGGGTGGTGGACGTTGTCTACCTTGACTTCCAACCTAGATGATTCTATGACTGGTTGGGTAGATAAAGAGAGGGTGGTGGACGTTGTCTACCTTGACTTCCAACCCAGATGATTCTATGAAAATATGACTGGTTGGGTAGATGAGGGGAGAGTGGTGGACGTTGTCGACCTTGACTTCCAACCTAGATGATTCTATGACTGGTTGGGTAGATGAGCGGAGAGTGGTGGACGGTGTCTACCTTGACTTCCACCCTAGATGATGATTCTATGACTGGTTGGGTAGACGTGGGGAGAGTGGTGGAAGTTGTCTACCTTGACTTCTACCCAACCAGTCATAGAATCATCTAGGTTGGAAGTCAAGGTAGACAACTTCCACCACTCTCCCCACGTCTACCCAACCAGTCATAGAATCATCATCTAGGGTGGAAGTCAAGGTAGACAACTTCCACCACTCTCCCCACGTCTACCCAACCAGTCATAGAATCATCATCTAGGGTGGAAGTCAAGGTAGACAACTTCCACCACTCTCCCCACGTCTACCCAACCAGTCATAGAATCATCATCTAGGGTGGAAGTCAAGGTAGACAACTTCCACCACTCTCCCCACGTCTACCCAACCAGTCATAGAATCATCATCTAGGGTGGAAGTCAAGGTAGACAACTTCCACCACTCTCCCCACGTCTACCCAACCAGTCATAGAATCATCATCTAGGGTGGAAGTCAAGGTAGACAACTTCCACCACTCTCCCCACGTCTACCCAACCAGTCATAGAATCATCATCTAGGGTGGAAGTCAAGGTAGACAACTTCCACCACTCTCCCCACGTCTACCCAACCAGTCATAGAATCATCATCTAGGGTGGAAGTCAAGGTAGACAACTTCCACCACTCTCCCCACGTCTACCCAACCAGTCATAGAATCATCATCTAGGTTGGAAGGCAAGGTAGACAACGTCCACCACCCTCCCCTCATCCAACCTAGATGATTCTCTGACTGGTTGGGTAGATGAGGGGAGCGTGGTGGACGATGTCTGCCTTGACTTCCAACCTAGATGATTGGTTCTGTGACTGGTTGGGTAGATAAGGAGAGGCTGGTGGACGTTGTCTACCTTGACTTCCAACCTAGATGATTCTCTGACTGGTTGGGTAGATGAGGGGAGCGTGGTGGACGATGTCTACCTTGACTTCCAACCTAGATTGATTGTTGGACTGAAAACCAGCTGAAAAACAGAGCTCAGAGGGTTGTGATTAGTGGCATGGAGTCCAGTTGGAGGTCCGTGACCAGTGGTGGTCCCCAAGGGTCAGGACTGGGTCCAGTCCTCATCAATATCTTCATCGATGAGCTGGGTGAAGGGATGGAGTTGGACCCTCAGCACCTTTGCTGGTGACACCCAACTGGGACAAGCAGGTGACACACCAGAGGCTGGGCCACCATCCAGTGAGACCTGGACAGGCTGGAGAGTTGGGCAGAGAGGAACCTGATGAAGTTCCACCAAGGGCAAGTGGAGGTTCCTCCCCCTGGGGAGGAATAACCCCCTGCCCCAGGACAGGTTGGGGGTGACCTGCTGGAGAGCAGCTCTGAGGAGAAAGACCTGGGAGTCCTGGGGGACAACAGGATGCCCATGAGCCACCAACGTGCCCTGGTGGCCAAGAAGGCTGATGGTGATCAGGAAGAGTGTGAAGAACCTGGAGGGAAGTCATCCTCCCCCTCTGCTCTGCCCTGCCCTGGGGAGGCCCCATCTGGAGCACTGGGACCAGTTGTGGGCTCCCCAGTTCCAGAAGGACAGGGAACTGGTGGAGAGGGTCCAGCAAAGGGCTACGAAGATGATGAGGGGCTGGAGCATCTCTCTGCTGAGGAAAGGCTGAGGGACTTGGGGCTTTGGAGTCTGGAGAAGAGAAGACTGAGGGGGGATCTCCTGGCTGGGGGGTGTCAGGAGGATGGGGCCAGGCTTTTTCCAGTGGTGCCCAGTGACAGGACAAGAGGGAACAGGCACAAACTGGGACATGAGAAGTTCCATCTCAACACGAGGAGGAACTTCTCCATTTTGAGGGTGGCAGAGCCCTGGGAGAGGCTGCCCAGAGAGGTGGGGGAGTCTCCATCTCTGGAGACATTCAAACCCCCCCTGGACATGTTCTGTAGGACCTGCTCTGGGTGCCCTTGCTCTGGGTGGGGGTTGGAGGAGACGATCTCCAGAAGGTCCCTTCCAGCCCCACATCATTCTGTGATTTTGGGGGGTGACGCCGCTCTCCTGGTGGAGTCCTCGCTCCGATTCGGAGCCACCTCCTCCTTGGAGGTCACCATCTCTCTGTCTCCTTTCCTCCATGAGAAAAGGGGAGCCCACCCCCCATCTCCGTGGTTTTTTGGGCTCCCCAAACCCACTTCTACGCAGGGCTGGGGGGGTCAGCTCCTTCATTTCAGGGTTTTGACCCCAAAAATTGGTGTCCAACACCGCTGGGGGAGTCATCCTCCTTCCTTAAGCTTTTAAGCCGATGGTCACCACCTTCTTCTCCATCCTTCTCCATCCCCATGAGCGCTGGGGTTTCTCCTGCCTCTGGAGCCCCCCCCCTGGATTTGCCCCCCAGATTTGCCCCCCGGATTTGCCCCCCAAGGTCCAACCTGGCGTTAACCTCCCCTTCTTTTTGGCAGAAACCGGGGATCCTGGGCGACTCGCCGCTGAGCTCCCTGCCCCACGGCGCCTTGGCTTTGGCCAACGCTCCGGCGCAGCCCCCCAACCAGCTCCTGGGAGAGCTCTCCTCAGGTAAGAGCTGGAGAAGGTTGGGGGGCTATTTGGGTGGGGAAGGGTGGTGGGCTCTTTGGGTGGAGAAGGGGGGGTTTTTGGATGGAGAACAGGGGTGGTTTTGGGTGGAGGAGGTGGTGGGCTCCTTGGGTGGAGAACAGGAGTGGTTTTGGGTGGGGAAAGGTGGTGGGCTCCTTGGATGGAGAAGGTTGGGGGGCTCTTTGGGTGGAGAAGGTTGGGGGGCTCTTTGGGTGGTCTTTGGGTGGAGAAGGTGGTGGGCTCTTTGGGTGGAGAAGGTGGTGGGCTCTTTGGGTGGAGAAGGTGGTGGGCTTTTGGGTGGGGATGATGGGGCTTTTTGGGTGGAGAAAGGGGGTCCCTGTGGGGATCTCCACATCTTGGGGTGCCATCCTTCTCCTCCTGCCTTCTCCAGGTGGCCCCTTGCCTGGTGAGCTGGCCCAAGGCCACGTCAAATCCCCCATTTTGCCTTCTGGAAACGTCCCCTTGGCTTCGTTCCTGGCGCCGGTGGCTTTGGGTGGAGAAGGTGGTGGGCTCTTTGGATGAAGAATGTAGTGGGCTTTTGGGTGGGGATGGTGGGGCATTTTGGGTGGAGAAAGGGGGTCCCTCTGAGGATCTCCACGTTTTGGGGTGCCACCTTCTCCTCCTGCCTTCTCCAGGTGGCCCCTTGCCTGGTGAGCTGGCCCAAGGTCACGTCAAATCCCCCATTTTACCTTCTGGAAACGTCCCCTTGGCTTCGTTCCTGGCGCCGGTGGGAGTGGAGAGGGACAACTCGGTTTTGGGGGCGCAGCTCACCCCTCCCCCCGTCACCCCCCCGGCCCTGCAGGGTCTCACCACCTCCATCCTGGGCTCCGTCATCGGTGGCCTCCAGAAACCAAAGCAGGGCGAGAACGGGCCACCCGCCTCCGGGGTAAGGTCCCACCTCGACACCGGGATGAACCTGTGGCACCTTTGGGTGGGGGGAGCCACCTCGAGACCCTCAGGGAGCCACCTGAGCCCTTTGAGGAGCCACCCGAGCTACTTAAGGTCCCCAAAGAGCCACCTGAGCCCTTTGAGGAGCCACCCAAGCCCCCCAAAGAGCCACCTGAGCTACTTAAGCCACCTAAGATCCCCAAGGAGCCACCCAAGACCCTCAAGGAGCCACCTGAGCCCTTTGAGGAGCCACCCAAGCCCCCCAGAGAGCCACCTGACCCCTTGTGAGGAGCCACTCGAGCTACTTAAGGCCCTCAAGGAGCCACCCGAGCTTTTTGAGGAGCCACCCAAGCCCCCAGGGACCCACCAGAGTTGCCCAGGAGCCCCTTGAGCCCCCCAGGAACCCACTTAAGCCCTTTGAGGAGCCACCCAAACCCCTCAAGCCCCCCGGTGTCTGACTTGAGCCACCCAAGGCCCTTGTGGGGCCACCTGAGCCCACCAAGAACCCACTTAAGCCCCTTGAGGGGCCACCCAAGACCCCAGGGAGCCACTTGAGCTCCTCAAGGAGCCTTTGAGCCCCCCAGGAACCCATTTGAGCCACCCGAGCTCTTTGAGGAGCCACTTAAGCTCCTCAAGGAGCTTTTGAGCCCCCCAGGGAGCCACCCAAGCTCTTTGAGGAGCCACTTAAGCTCCTCAAGGAGCCTTTGAGACCCCAGGAACCCACTTAAGCCCCCCAGGGAGTCACCCAAGCTCTTTGAGGAGTCACCTGAGCTCTTTGAGGAGCCACTCAAGACCCCAGGGAGCCACTTGAGCTCCTCAAGGAGCCTTTGAGCCCCCCAGGAACCCACTTAAGCCCTTTGAGGAGCCACCCAACCCCCTCAAGCCCCCCGGTGTCTGACTTGAGCTACCCAAGCCCCTCGTGGGGCCACCTGAGCCCCCCGGGAACCCACTTAAGCCCCCAGGGAGCCACCCGAGCTCTTTGAGGAGCCACTTAAGCTCCTCAAGGAGCCTTTGAGACCCCACGAACCC